ACCCCGCCCCCACCCCCTCCGCCGGGGTCCTGGGCCTGCAAAGAAATGGCGCTGGCAGGATCCTGCTCACTGTGCTCGCTGGACCCTCTCTTTGGTGGAACTCTCACTGTCCACTGGACGGGAACTTTGTACAGAGAAGGCAGCTAATGGCGGACCATCCAGGGGCACCAAGTATACACTGGCGGTGCTGGGCCACCATCACGACTATATATCTACTTGCAAATGAATAATTTTCCTGGCTGAATAATATTCAGCAGGCTGAATAACATTCTAATGCATGGCTAGACCACACATGTTGTGTATCCACTCAGCAGCTGATGTACATTTGGGTGACTTCCACCTTGTGCCTGTCGGGCATGGTGCTCCGGTGAACATTCCTGTGCAGGGTTCTGTTTGAACACCTGTTTTCAACTCATTTGGGTTTACAACCCATGGGATAGATCTATGGGTTTATTTCTGGACTCCACTGATCTATGTGTCTATCCTTATGCTAGTACCACATAGTTTTGATAACTGAAGCTTTGGACTAAGTTTTGAAATAGGGAAGTGTGAGTCCTCCAACTATTTTCTTCTTTTCCAAGATTATTTTTGCTATTCAACGTCACTTGAAATTCCGTATGCATTTAGGATTGGCTTTTACATTTCTGTAAAACAGAGCATTGCGATTTCCATAGGGATTTCATTAAATCTCTAGACAACTTTGGGTGGGATTGCCATCTTAAAAGTATTAAGTCTTCCAGTCCACAAAATCTGCTATGTTTCCCCTTTTTTTTTAAGGTCATCATTAATTTCTTTCAGCAGTGCTTTGTAGTTTTTGGTGCACAAGCCTTGCACCTCCTTGGCTAAATTTATCCCTGTGTATTTTATTCCTTTTGATGTTGTGTGAAATAGAACTGTTGTCAATTTCATTTTGGATTATTTTTTCATTGCTAGGATATGGAAACACAACAGACTTTTGTGTGTTGATCTTGTATACTGCAACTTGGTTGAATTCGTTTGTTAACTCTAATAGTGTTTTGTGGATTCTTTAGGGTTTCCTGTACAGAAGAGCAGGTCATCTGAGAATAGAAGCAGTTTAACTTCCTTTCCAACTTGAATGCTTTTCATTTCTTTTTCTTGCCTCATTGCTCTGACTAGGACTTCCATTACAGTCTTGAGTAGAAACACTGAAAGCAAGCATTCTTCTCTTGTTCCTGATGTTAGGGGAAATGCTTCCAGTCTTCCACCATTGAGTATGACATTAGCTAGGGTATTTCATAAAAGCCTTTTATTTTGTTGAGGAATTTCCCTTCTATTCTTAGTTTGCTGGGTGTTTTTTGTTTGTTTTTTAATCATGAAAGTTGTTAGATTTTGTTGAATGCTTTTTCTGCATCAACTAAGATGATCATGAGGGTGTTTTCCCCCTTCATTTTATCAATGTGGTTTTGACTAATCCGTTTTCTTATGTTGAGCCATCCTTGCATTCCTGGCATAATTCCTATTTGGACATGGAATGTAATATTTATAATATGCTGCTGGATTCAACTTGCTAGAATTCTTTTGAGGATTTTTGCATCGATATTCATAAAAGCTATTGGTCTGTAATTTTTCGTATATCTAAGAGTGGAATTGCAGTGTCATATGGTAATTCTATGTTTAACTTATTGAGGAACCACCACCCTACTGATTTCCACAGCAGCTCTACCATTTTTTTCATTCCCAACAAGCAGTGTATGTGTGTCCCAATTTCTCCACATCTTCTCCAAAACTTGTTATTTTCTGGGGTTTTTTTTTGCTTTGTTTTGCTTGTATTAGCTATCCTAGTGGGTGTGACGTGGTATCTCATGGTGATTTTGATTTGCATTTCTCTAATGGCTAAATACGTTGAGCATCTTTTCCTGTGCCTCTTCGGCATTTGTACATCTGCTTTGGAGGAATGTCTATTCAAGTCCTTTGCTCATTGTTTAACTGGGTTGCTTGTCTTTTTGTTGTTGACTTGTAAGGTTTCTTTATGCATCCTGGAAAATAGACCTTTCTCAGATATATGATTTGCAAATGTTTCTGCCATCCTATGGGTTGGGCTTCAAAGTGGCTCAGTAGTTGTGGTGCATGGGCTTAGTTGCTCCGCGGCATGTGGGATCTTCCCAGACCCGGACCAGGGCTTGAACCTGTGTCTCCTCTGCATTTGCAGGTGGATTCTTAACCACTGTGCCACCAGGGAAGCCCACTTCTTTTTAAACCAACGTTTAGACAGTGTCATTAGATAAACATCCTTTTCAATGCTAAAACCCGAGTCACTTGTGGCCTTTTCCTGGAAGAGATTTTTGCTGCTGTCAGGTTACAAGAACAGCATAAGAGGCCATTTTCTGGGCATGGAGCCCAGGATTCAAAGGGAAGCTCTAGAGAACATCTGGTCTGCTTGATATATCGAAACTGCATGTGTGTGTTTGTGTGTATGTGTTTCTCTCTGCTGACTCATAGCATTGAAGCCTCTTTGGAAACTCCCCCACCCTTCTAGCCAGCCAGTTTATACACACGCCATCGGTTCCTCCTTGATTCAAATGTTAGGTCAAGAGGAAGAAAGAGAACAAATTCAAGAGTTACTCTCAAGCATCTAGAATTTTCTGCACCTCTTGAAGAGAGACTAGCCCAGCTCTGACTATTACAAGCTGGACTTTCCTCTAGCACAACCTTCATTTAAGCCTTTGGATAAAACTGGAAGAAAAGAATCTGTGAGTACTGTGGACTTCACAGAAGGCAGGGGGCTGAAAACTGGCAATAAAATCAGAAAGATGGCAGACCTGAGGCCCAGCAGTCAAACAGACCCTGAAATTGAGCTTTTTGTGAAGGTAAGTTTTCTAGCTATAATGAGAGCATACAGAATGTATTATTCCTTGACACTCGACCTCAGCTTTTTTTTTTTAAGTCAATATTTCAGCTAGAGATAGGAAATAATTTTGTAATTTTATACCTACTCTGAGTCCTAGAAGAATACCTGGGTGTTTGGCTTCTCTTATATAACAATAGAAAAACACCCCATCTGAAAAAAGCAAGAAGATATGGTAGAAAGACAACTAGACTGGCTGGTAGTTAGAGCAAGTAAATCATATTATTAGTGACTTCCTATGTAACCTTGGACAAATCCCTCCCTCCCTCTTTGTTTTTCCATCTGTACAATAAAGGAGCCTGACAAAATGATCCTTAAGGGCTTTCCAGTTCTCATAATCTGTGTTTTATGAGATATGTTTTGGAAGGACTGAATGTGGGGAGGAGAGGGCCAAGAATGGCCTGAGAGCCTCATTCCCACACATGGTCCAAATAGAGCTTTCAAAAATTCTCCCACAATGGATGAACATCACAGCAGGGTCAAATGGACACTAGAGGAGAAAAAAGCCAGGAGTTTGTGTGCCTGTTATATGAGTAGGAGGTTTTTTGCCTTGGCTTTTTTTTTTTTTTAACGTCTTAGCATTTCAGAAAAGCCCTTTGGAAAACCCCTAACGCAGGAGAAAGGAACATGTGTTTCTAAATTAGCTCATCAAGAAAAAGAAACAAGTTTGTACAGGTTATTCCAAGTAGAAATTACATAGTTTCCTAAATCCTTGCTTATATTTATTTTTCTCTATATTTTCATTGACTATTGGAAGTATTCAGGATGGTAATAATAATAACAAACTCTTATGTCATGCTTAACCTTTTTCTAACACTTTATGTATATTATCTCATTTAGTCCTAACAACTTAGAAGATAGGTTAATAGTAGTAAAGTAGTATCATCAGTAGTAGTGGCGGTAATAGTACTCAAAACTTTAGTAATATTGTCCTCATGATTTCTAGGTAAGTAAGCTAAGGAAATAAGGTTTAAGTAACTTGCCTCTAAAAGTACATCGCCTCTTGATGGCCTACAAAGGCATAAAATAAGGTGTGCTTGCCAAATTTTAGGTTAAACATCTGTTGGCCAAAGTAATACTTTCACAATACTGTTAAAATATTTGACAACTGGTCACATATATACATCAAGGACATAATTAACCAGCCTTTTCAAAATTATAGGAGACTCTTGAATTCCTGCATAGCAAAACAATCCAAGTAAGTGTTTGCTTGACTGTGGGGCATAAGAGTTACTTCTCCTATCTCTGGATTCTAGCAAAACATGTCACTGCTCAGACGCAACAGAAGTAAGCCTTAACTTCCTGACTTTTTATAACTACCAATTCCAAACCAGAGGTAATAAGTCTCTTCATAGGGTAACTAGTTTCTTTTGTCTAAACTTGTTTGTTCAATCCAATCAAACTCCTCTAACCAGTTGTTGGCATTGATCTATGTGTTTATCTTCATAGACTTCCAATAATTTGGATGGTAATCTAGACAGGGGAAGTTAGGAAATCACACCTTGGATGAGCAAATGTTAAATTAAATAATAACTTTCAGGTTAAAAACCTAATCATTTATTGAGTACTTATGGCAGGGGCTGTGCTAAGTGGTTTATTATTAACCCTATTTTATGGTTACAGAAACTAAAGCAAAAAGTAGCTAAGTAGCTTTGCATAAGGTCACATAGCTAGTAAATGGCAGGGTCAAGATTCCAGTCCCTTAAAATAGCTGTGCATAATTTTAATTCATTGTTTTCAATTTGGCACACTTTTTAGTAACATTTCCAAGAATTTCATTAGATGAAATCCTCTAGATGTTAGCTTATCTAATGACATTGATACAAGTCACAGATTTTCTGGAAGAACCTTTAGTATCATCTGATCTGGGTTTTTGTTTTGCTTTGCTTTGAGACGGATTCCAAAGATCTCTAGAAGTTTCATAGAAGAGGGGGAATAGGGGCTGAGAGGGGTGAAAATGTTAATGAGAAAATTTAAAAAGCACTACTGTTTACCAGTTGTATCTCCCTTATAATGTGGTATCTTTCTAAAGATTAAATGAGTCTGTAATTTCCCCGGCTATGTCTGGGGACCCTACCACAATTTCCCAATGCCACTGATGGGATCCCTACAAGAAAGTAAGTCCTTTCCTGACACAATTAAGAATTTATATCACACACCCCCATGTGTTCCATGGAGTGAGTGAAATCATTGCCTTTCAACTCTGAATGATTTGGGCAAGATTTATATCCAGGAACTAAGAACAAAGGATTTTCTAAAAGAACACATTTTGTTTTCTCTAAATGCAGAGTTTATCTTATTGGTTTGTTGTTCATTGATAAATGGAGTTTTTGTGTTCTCTACCAGTCTAAAATTAAGTTTTCATAGATTTGTACATAACATTATAGACTCTAACATTTGGGCCAAAATCCTGAATGTAATATTTTTGTCTTTATTGATAAATGTAAAATAGAAAAAGAGATGATTCTCTTCTCTGAATGTTCAGACCATTTTCAAATTATCTTAGAATATCATAAAGACTATTATAAAGACTGATTAATAAAAAATCCAATAAAACTATTAGATGGGAGAAAGCAGTGTTTAAGGAGTGTGGATTGTGGAGTAGACAGTCCTGGATTAGCTACATGAGAAGAGTGTATGGGTCATCAACTCTTGTCTAGCTGAGTGTACTTGAGCAAGTCAGCTTCTCTGAACTTCAATTTCCTCATCTGTAAAACAAGAGTAATGACAGAACCTACCTCACAGGATCATCTTCATTGTAAGCATTAAATAAAATAAATTTGTAAGACACAGTAGTTGTTAACATAGCAAACATTCAATAAATGTCAGATGTTCCAGCCATTACTATTTTTCATGTTTAGAAACATAGATCACAAATGCAAAGAGAAAAAGTTGTTTTGGTGAATGACCACATCGTGGTAGTTTTCACGTCCATTTCTCCAGGAGGTGGGTCAAAAAGATCTTGCTGTGATTTATGTCATAGAGTGTTCTGCCTATCTTTTCCTCTAAGAGTTTTATAGTGTCTGGCCTTACATTTAGGTCTTTAATCCATTTTGAGTTTATTTTTGTGTATGGTGTTAGGGAGTGTTCTAATTTCATTCTTTTACGTGTAGCTGACCAGTTTTCCCAGCACCACTTATGGAAGAGCCTGTCTTTTCTCCATTGTATATTCATACATTTTGTGTAGTGGCACTTTAAATCAGCATTATTATAAACAGAAAAAAATTCAGCCTTCCTGTAAAATTGTGCTGCATTTCCCCCACACCTCACTGTTTTGCCTTTCCTTTTGCCAAAGGCAACCCACCCTTCCTGCTGTATCTATTATCAGACTTCATTCTTCTTCCTGCCTAATCAAGTTTCCATTCACTAACCCCAGTTATGATTGGATCTTTAGCCTGACTTCTGTTACAAAAGAAATTCAGCTGCCAACGTGGTTGCCTCTTCCCATACCTCTTCACTCCCTGACGCCACAAAAGAGCAACAATAAACATTATTTCCTCTGTTGTACTCACTGCCAGGAAAAGGAAAATTTACCAAAAAATAAGAATTATGTCCAAGATCAAGGTGTCAGTATGGTCAGTTTCTGGTGAGAACTCTTTTCCTGGTTTATTATATATAGGTGCCTTCTTGCTGTGACCTTATATGCATCGTTGTTGGGGGAGATGAAGAAAGAGAGAAAGAAAAAGAGAGAGAGAGCTCTGGTTTCTTCTTATAAAGGCATTAGTCCCATCGTAAGGGTTCTACCCTCATGACCTCATCTAAACCAATCACTTCCCAAACACCTCACCTCCAACTACCATCACGTTGGGGGACAGGGATTCAACATTTTAATTTGGGGGAACACAATTCACAAATCCGAAGTAGATAGCAGTGCAATTCACAGGATTAGGAACTCTAAAGAGTAGGTAGGTGTGTGGAGTAAAGAAAAGGGAAAGAATTCACTTTGGGACATGTTGAGATTGAGGTGTCTAAAACTTGGATCTCCCTTCAGGAGACAACATCAGCTATAGCCTTCTCAAGGAATGGCTCCCCTTTCTTCCTCATTTCTATTACCACTGAGGGTGGCGATGGGGTAGGTGTCTTTAGATGTCCTTGCTCCTCATTCTTGTTTCCAGACCATTCTATCTCTCCCATCCAGAGAAATATCTCATAAAATCAGACTAAACCAACCACTACCCCTCCTTGTTATAGTAGTCTTCCCAATCCCAGGTCACTTTCCCTTACTTCTTAAGGATTTTATTTCCTGGATCATTGTCACACTCTTCAACACTATGCCTATCATAATTCTTGGTGATTTTAATATCTACACAAATGACCCTTCCAACACTCTGTCCTCTCACATCCTTGGCTTTCTCTCCTCCAGTGACCTTGTTCTTCATAATCTCTCAGGCACTCCCTTCCATGGTTATACCCTTACCTTTGTCATTGCAACGTCTGCAATCACTGCATAATATCATTTATTTGAGGGGTTTTTTGTTCTTCTTTTTGAACTTTTCCATTTTAATACACTGTATTGAGGTATAATTTACATAAAGTAAGATGTGCTCATTTTTCACTGAAGTGTCTCTGATTTACAGTGTTGTGCTAATTTCTGCTGTACAGCAAAGTGATTCAGTTACATATATATATATATATATATATATATATATATATATATATATACACACATCCTTTTTCATATTCTTTTCCATTATGGTTTATCACAGGATATTGAATATAGTTTCCTGTGCTATACAGTAGGACCTTGTTGTTTATCCATTCTATATATAATAGTTTTCATCTACTAATCCCAAACTCCCAATCCATGCCTCTCCCATCCCCTGCCCCTCTTGGCAACCACAGTCTGCTCTCAATGTCTATGAGTCTGTTTCTGTTTCATAGATAAGTTCATTTGTGTCATATTTTAGATTCCACATATAAGCCATATCTATGTTTGTCTTTCCCTGTGTGGTTTATTTCACTCAGTATGATAATCTCTAGGTACATCCATGTTGCTGCAAATGGCATTATTTCATTTTTTATGGCTGAGTAGTGTTCCATCATATATATATGGTATATATTATACATATACCATTCCATTATATATGTATATTATATATACCATTCCATTATATATATAATGGATATATATATATATATATATATATATATATATATATATATATCACATCTTCTTAATCCATTCATCTGTCGATGGACACTTAAGTTGCTTCCATGTCTTGGCTATTCTAAATAGTGCTGCTATGAGCATACAGGTGCATTTTCAAATTATAGTTTTCTCTGGATACATGCCCAGGAGTAGGATTGCTGTATCATATGGTAACTCTGTTTTTAATTTTTTAAGGAACCTCCTTACTGTTCTCCATAGTGGCTGCACCAATTTACGTTCCCACCAGCAGTGTAGGAGGATTCCCTTTTCTCCACACCCTCTCCAGCATTTATTATTTGTAGACTTTTAATGATGGCCATTCTGACCAGTATGAGGTGGTACCTCATCGTAGCTTTGATTTGCCTTTCTCTAATAATTTGCTATGTTGAGCAAAAGATGAATTTTTAAATGAGTGGTGTTAAGACAACTATTTGTAAAATAATAAAATAAAAATAATAAATCTGGAGTCCCAATACATTCTTTATGCCAAAATAAATTCTAAATAGATGAAACAAATGCAAAAATGAAACCTTAAAGTTACTAGAAGAAAACGTGAGGGAACATCTTTATAGTAAAACAAAATAAGAAAGTAATTTTTTTTCTTTGCAATCTTGATGTACATAACAGCTGTGTAAGCAGATCAGGAAAACCAGATTTCATAAAGGAAAACAATATAAGATTTTATGTAAAATTTTAATTTTACATAAGGCATTGTTTAAAAATTACATGTAACTTTATCAAAAAGAGTTAGTGTCTTTAGTATACAAGTAATTTGTCCAAAGTAATAAGGAAAAGGTCATCACATTAATAGAAAAATATAAAATTGTCATGAACAAACAAGTCACAGAATAAAGAAATCAAAGGTCCAATGAAAATACTGAATATACCTTTCAAGAAGGAAATTTGGCAGGATCTATGAAAATGGAAAATGAACATAGTCTTTAGTCAGCATTCTGTTGTTATGTACTCATCACTCTGGTAATTTTACATACAATGAAATTATTTGCTTCATTATCTCTCTCTGCCCACAGATGGTAGAATTCATGAGATTAAGAACTACCAACTTTGTCTCTAGCAACTAGCTTATTTCCCAGCAGGCACTCAATACATACTTATTGAGCAAATGAATGAATGAAGCCTTTCTTTATCTTAATAGGCTGGAAGTGATGGGGAGAGTATTGGAAACTGTCCCTTTTGCCAACGCCTTTTTATGATCCTCTGGCTTAAAGGAGTTAAATTCAATGTGACTACTGTTGACATGACCAGGTAAGACAAATCAGGACATGTTTCATTCTGGGGATTAAAATCAGTAGACACCAATACAATGTTGGTGTTTGCATAATGTGTACTTTATCTAGAGGCCTAACTCTGCTTATTTTCAATAATCATAGAAAGCCTGAAGAGCTGAAGGACTTAGCCCCAGGCACCAACCCTCCCTTCCTGATATATAACAAGGAGTTGAAAACAGACTTCATTAAAATTGAGGAGTTCCTAGAGCACACACTGGCTCCTCCAAGGTACATTTTTACAGGATATTATTGTTCTTGAGATAATCTATTTTATTGGCTTATTTATTGCAGATTGAGGATTCTTCTAAACATCTCTTTTTCAATTTCAGACCTCTCTTTTGCTATCTTTCTAGAAAAGTTTGCAAAGATCCCCCGATCACTCCATGTATGATTAGAAAACTTTACTACATAATTATTTATTTAACATATGTAAAGCCATTAAAACTTTATGTGATGCAAGTAGTATATTAGGAATGGGCAAAGGATAAACTTGGAAATTTAGGAAGGACAAGTAAATTTAGGCCACATTTAATTTTATCCATGTTATCTGATCCATAATGAGGTTTGGGGACATTTATACTGACAGAAGTCAGACTTATTTTATTGTAGAGCCCTCAGAAGATCTACAATTTTGAAATAGCCTTTAATTCAGTCTGATCTCTTAGCTCTACAGGTTGAGAAATATTATGTCTATCACACATAAACTTCCCCTCTTCAACTTCAAATACACAAAGACAGTCAATATAATATTTCAAATTATTTTTAAAATGCATAGCTTGCTTAAAATAAGAAAGTAAATTCTCTGTAGTCTAGAAATTGAGAAGAAACCTATGGTGTGTTAGGAGCGAGGGCATGGGGCAATAGCACTGTATAGTCCATGAGGACTGGTCAGGACTAGTCCGTTATACCACTGATGGCATGAAGATAGAACATACCCAACACAAGAAAACCAAGAAACAGGTCTCTCACAGTTAGCCAGAGGCCATAACTCCACTGTCTACACTTGAATGACAGCTGTATGTCTCTGCCCACCCAGGATAGTATCTGCAAACAATAAGCCTACTGTATTCATTTTTTATTTCTGTGCAACAAACTCAGTGTCTTAAAATGTCACTCATTTATTATCCCACAGTTTTCACTGGTCAGAAGTCTGGCTGTAAACTTAAAACTGCTCTAAAAAATAACATCTTAATCATTACACATACATATGATAAATAAAAGGTTCTATTGGTCCAAAATTCTTCCTACCTAAGAAATTAGGGATACTATTTTAGATTCTTTTCTGTGTGCCTATACTATGTTTCTTTCATCCATTATTGGTGGCTTCTTATATTTTAAGCACCGGCTCCAAGTATTGAGTCTTATTTTGTTCTTTTCTCCTCATCCATCCTCCTCTACTACTGCCTCCCCTCAAACCATATCTCCAAACTTTTCTTGCTCCCAAAGGTTAACTAGTGAAAAAATCTGTTGTGTTATCTTTCCATACCCTTTTTTATGTTCATATAAGCACAATAACAAATTCCCTTTCCTTCCAGTTTTTCACCACTACAAACAGTGCTATAAATAACGTCCTTGTGCACTGGTGTTTTTATTCCTGTGGAATAGATTTCCAGGAGTAAAATTCAAATGGTATATATCTTTTAAAATTTTTACTGCTTTATCCATCAGTGTATAAGTATACACTTTTCCCACATATCTGTAGTACTATGCGTTATCACTCTTTTAAAATTCATGGCAACCTGACGGGTGTAGTGATATCTCAGATACTTTAGTTTGCATTTCCCTGAATAATATGTGAATTAGAACATCTTTACACATGTTGGTTGAGCATTTGGTTTTGTTCTGTGAATTACCTTGTCAAATTCTTCTGATTTTCTATTAGCTTATGTATCATTTAGGGATTGCATTCAACTCTAACTAGAGGCCCAAAAAGTAGTGGTTTAGATAAATATGGATTTTATTTTTCTTACATAATAAGACACCAAGAATGATGCATTGTAGGGGTAGAATGACAGCTCCATAATTTCACTGGGGACCCAGGCTCTATCTAATATTTCTTCTCTGCCATTCTTCAGGTGAGTTTTCCAGTCTTAAGTTTAATTCACGGTGACAATATGTCTGCTGGAATTCCAGGCAACAGATCTAACTCCCACACAGGAAGAAGGAGTAGGGCAAAGGGCAAAAGATGCAAGTCAACTTTAAGGAGCTTTCACAGAAGCCACATTCAACAATTTCCATTAACATCTCATTATTCAGAAGTAATTCACATAGTCATACCTAAATACAAAGGGAAGCTAGGAAACATAGTTTTCATCCATGTTTATTGCCATCCCTAACAAAATAAGATTCAGTTAATGAGAGACAGAGAGAGAGGGAGAGAGAGAGAGAGGGAGAAAGTGGTACATAACTGTGTTATCTTCCATATTCTGCCCCTCTGACCATCCAAATAAATGTGTGTATCCTTATTCCCATACATGGAACACACTTACTCCCAAGAGAGATAACTCCCAAGTCCCCTATAGTTACTGCATCCAGTTCAAAGTCCAGGATCTTTGAGTGATGCACAACATCTCTCTTAGATATTAATGGTCGAACAGTCAAATAAATTAAAAGACAGTTCTTTCCACCTTCTGCTTGACACACGCAATAGTCAGTGATGGAGCAGGAATTGGATACCTGGAATAAAATCTTCCATTTTTAAAAGGAAATATAGGATAACACATAAAAATCCCGGTTCATAATTGTTACCATTGTTGGAGAAACAGCTGGAAGATATTTTCCAAGTTTTGGTGTTACAAACAATGCTAAAATGAACTTTCTTTTGACAAGGTCCTCCAGAGTGGTTATTTAGTCTGCCACATTGCTGAATACAAGAGCTCTTCCATATAATCTTTGTTTCATCTAAAATTTTAAAACCTGTTCGATACCCACATCAATGAAAATGGTGGAGTAGGGGACTCCAAAATGTCATCCCTCCATAATAACAATTAATAGCCCAGCAAAAGCTGTCAGAATCAACTTTGCCAGAACTCTGGAAACTAACCAAAAATTTACAAGCAGCCTGGGGTTTCTTAATGAAGAATAAAGAAGCAAAATTTCAGTAAGAGAGCCTTGTGGCATTTTAGGTTACCCTGTTACCATCTTCAACTACTCAGCTCTTTAGAAGCCTTAAAGAGAGCAGTCCACATTGCAGAAACAGGTTGCTTGTACCAGAGGACAGGATATTGACCTTATTCTCAAATAACTGTGGTTGTGTGGTTTGACCTGGTGGCACCTCGAGGGATTGGCTCAAGGGTTTGCCTTTTTTTTCACCTACTTTGGAGCTTCCTCAGGGCTGAGGCAGCTTCCCTATTGGCACTCATGGAAGGCGTTTAGAAGCAAATGTATTAGCCACTGCCACATGGGGCAAGGAATAAAACTTGGAGAAAGCAATAGACAAACTGAAAAGTATGCAAAAAAAGAGGCTGAGATGGGACTTCCCTGGTGGTGCAGTGGTTAAGAATCTGCCTGCCAATGTAGGGGCCACAGTTTCGAGCCCTGGTCCAGGACGATCCCATATGCCACGGAGCAACTAAGCCCATGCGCCACAACTACTGAGCCCATGTGCCAAAACTACTGAGCTCGCGAGCCACAACTACTGAAGTCCACGCACCTAGAGCCCATGCTCTGCAACAAGAGAAGCCACTACAATGAGAACCCCACGCACCACAATGAAGAGTAGCCCCCGCTCGCTGCAACTAGAGAAAGCCTGCATGCAGAAATGAAGACCCTACACAGCCAAAAATAAATAAATAAATTTATTTTTTTTTAAATAAAGAGGCTGAGACACTTGGGAGATAGTGGAATAAGGGCTTTAAATTAATGTATTCTAGGGAATCTAGAAGTCCAAGCACATGCCCAAGTCTCGACCTATGTGCAGAAAAAACAACCTGAGAAGACTTTAAGCTTTTACTTCTGGCTAAATTCAGGCACCACACAAGTAGAAAGTGAAGGCTAAGGCAGAATTATAAACTGCATACCTAAGCATTGAAGGGGTACCCAAACACAGAGCCAGCTTACAAACACCAGGAGAGCTTTTTATCCCTTGGTTTGTTGTTTGTTTGTTTGTATCTTTGTTTGCTTTGCTTCCAGGAGTTTAAGGAAATCTCTGTCAAATCAATAACTGACCAAAGATAATGAGAAAAAGATTTCAGTAGCCACACACAAGAAAGAACAGACTTTACAAAAATACTTCAGAAAATTCACTAAACAAATAAACAGCAACACCCAAAAAAAGCAACAACAAACCCTATTTGTTGGAAGGGAAGGGAAGAATCTGTTTTCCAGAGTTTCCACATTATAAATATTAAAGTGTCCTGTTTTCAAAATATATATATAAGGTATGTCAAAAAAAACAAGGGGCTTCCCTGGGGGTGCAGTGGTTGAGAATCTGCCTGCTAATTCAGGGGACATGGGTTCGAGCCCTGGTCTGGGAGGATCCCACATGTCGCATAGCAACTAGGCCCGTGAGCCACAACTACTGAGCCTGTGCATCTGGAGCCTGTGCTCTGCAACAAGAGAGGCCGCGATAGTGAGAGGCCCATGTACCACGATGAAGAGTGGCCCCCGCTTGCCACAACTAGAGATAGCCCTCGCACAGAAACGAAGACCCAACACAGCAAAAATTAATTAATTAATTAATAAACTCCTACCCCCAACATCTTCTTAAAAAAAAAAAAAAAAACAAGAATGTGTGGCCCATTCACAGAAAAAAAGAAATTAATAGAAATTGTCCCTGAGGAAACCCAGACCCTGATTTAATAGACAAAGACTTTAAATCAACTGTCTTAAATATGTTTAGATAGCTAAAGAAAACCATGGACAAAGAATTAAAGGAAACCAAGAAAACAATGTCTCAATAAAGAGAGAATATCAATAAAAAATATAAATAATAAAAAGGAAATAGACATTCTGGAGTTGAAAAGTACAGTAACTAAAATGAACAATTCACTAGAGGATTCAACAGCAGATTTGAACAGACAGAAGAAAGATTCTGCAAAACTGAGCATAAGTTAATTGAGAGTATCCAGTCTAAGGAAAAGGAAGAAAATTAACAGAGCCTAACAGACCTGGTGGTTGCCATAAAATGTACAAAGATACACATGATAGGGAAGAGATGGCAGAGAAAGAGGCAGAAAGAATATTTGAGGAAACAATGGCTGAAGACTTCCCAAGTTTAATGAAAGACA